CTTTAAGACATTTCTGCTAATGTCTTAAACCTTCACGATTACCTATTGAGAAAAACTAGTCGCTCTCGTCGTTGCATTTTCAAGCCATTCAATATTTGTGCGGATAGCATCTGCACACGTCATATTCGATCGTGCTTCGTGTGCTACGAGGAGTCTACTGCTGCGGTAGTGCCACCTGGACCGGAAGTATGTTTTGTGCCGCTTTCAATGTATGGCACAGGCGTAGAGTTTGAGAACTGAACAGGTTCTATAAACGTTGTTATCTAGGGGGTGCCCCTCCCGAAATCAAGGAGGTGCCCCCCCCCCCCCCCCCCCCCAAAAAAAAAAAATTTCTGGCTGCGTGCCTGGCAATGGTTGCCTTTTGACATTAGCCAGCATTCAGTGAATGTCTGCCGCGGCCATACCATGCTTGAAGTCTGCTCTAAGGGACGTTTGAGGCTTTGAGGTTTGTGCATTTGCGTTGTCCGTTGCTTCTGCGGCTAGGCTTGATCAGCATCTTGTGGTTTGTGGCTTGCTCTCTGGGGTGTTCGTTTGCATGCGAGCTACTGAAATGGCTCCAACACCACCCGTTCCATCTGCACAGTCAAGACTAATGAAGTAATGTGGCCAACGCAACAACTACAAGACACTGGTGCTGGCAAAGAGAGCAACGATTATTTGCCAGTTGGAAGGTAGCCGACCTTAATCTGATATTGCGTGGGAGTTCTCAATTTCCAAGTAAACCGCCCTGGACTGCGTAAAGCAAAGGTCAAGATTGCGGCGGCTGACAGAACGTCTGCGCGAACGTAGAACAATTTCTATGATGGCAGTAACCCGAACCATGAAGAGGTGCCAAGCATGTGGTTGAGTGCCGTGGTAGCTGGGAAAGTACCCTTGTCTAACAATCTGAAAAAATAAAAAAAATTGGCCCCGTATCTTCATGTTGCACTGCAAATGTTGTCAGGAGAGAGTGAACAATACATTTATTTGATGTTTTGCGCAAGAAAATCGGTGAATGCTATTCTAAAGGCGCTGCGTTAGAGTGCCTCAAGCGTGCAGCAGAGGCGAACGAGTGCATCAAGTCACGTCACACGTGAGACATAAGCGCTATCTGATAGTTATCTTGGAAAACGAAGCGCGTGGCGTGCGCGCCCGTCTAGGAGGTGATAAGGTGTAGAACGCAAGGTGACGAGTAGGGGTCACTACCGTGTCGTCTTAGCAAAACATTGTAAACACTTGCTGTTTTGTTGATAGCGTTGCATGACCAGCACAGCGTTATAAAGGCTACGATCCTTAAAATTACTTATGTATGCCTTTTCTAGTAAAAATACACATACATAATATTGACGTGTTATTATGGTGCCTCAGATATACACAGTAATTGCTTTTTAATTGATAATCGCACAAGTATGAACGCTGACCTTGAGCAATATTGGTGGGCGCTGCGAATGGGGTCGGCCGTTTGGAGTATTGTTTAGTCACTTTGGTGCCCTATAAGGTATTGTTAAGGGCGGACAAACAGGCATATAGACAGACAGACAGACCAAAATTTTTGCGTCAAAGGTTCCCAAGAAAGACTATCATCTTTAAAAAAGCGGAGTTGCTCACCCTGCGCATGGATATTACTGGCTGCAAATAAGGGACGGCTGGTTGCATATGTAACGTTGAGGAAATGTACGTCCCGATTTTCAAGTAAATGTGCGACTACAGTGTTTCAGTTGACCTGACCCTCTTGAGTGACTACTATGTCGACAAGCTCTCTGCACAGCTGCACCAGAGTGCACTAGAGGATGTCTTTAACTGTGATCACTCTGACCTTTTCGACAAAATTTGGCCCAACCAGACACTTGCTTTGTCCAGTGAACCCTGTCATGAGGGGATGCGAAGAGTTCAAAGAGCGAATGTCTTGTTGTGGGAGGCAAACTTCCGCTCCTTGTCATAGGAAAATCAATACATCCAAAATGTTCTAAAGGCATCAAATAACTCTCTGTCTGGTATCAAGTGAATTCTAGGGCGTAAATAAGGCGAGACCTCTTCTAACAGTACGTTTGGAACTTGACGGTGGTTCAACAGAAAAGTATTGCTGTTCATCAACAACTGCGGTGCTCACGGTCACAGCACTAATCTTAACCACCTGAAATTTTTGCCACCAAACACGACTAGTGCTTTGGGGCCCGTGAACCAGGGTGTAATTAAAGGAGCATTGACGTCAAATTCAGAATTGAGAATGTATTCCTTCATTTGATTGCTCAGTATGCGAAGATCATTTTGGCCAAATTTGAATTGCGTCCGTTGCATGGAAGTTGTTTTATGTTGAGGGCAAACAGCATACGAGAGCTCAATGGAAAATGGAGTGCCCTGTGGCATCGACACTAGGGCTACGTGTTCGGTGTGATAGGTTTCACACATACCATTCTGAGTGACAATGTGCTAGTAGTGATACCGTGGTCAGAGTGTTTTTATTGTGGTGCCAAAGCCTGGAAACGCACTCACTCTTCATGTGAGGTCTTCATTGCACCGCTTTGAATTATTTCGTGGAATTGCAACACGCAGAATGAAAGTAAGTTTAGTGCAACTCGGAAGTCCCACTAACACTCACGCATTCACACACACACTTCCACACAAGAAGCACACACCACACGCAGCGCTACTAAATTTACTTAATTATGACGAATTATAAACTATCTCAAGAACAAGTTTAACGAGCCATACAACACGCAAACTACATATAAGGAATGGCAAAAAAAGAAAGAGCATGATTCAATGTGTGCTCACCAGTCAGCATGTTGCGATTCCCCGACATGTTAGGATTGAATATGACAGTCGGGGAACCGACTGTCCTATTCAGCGTGAATCGACACTTTGTACTGCGACAATGGCAATGCATGACATGGCATGACTGAATGTGTGCACTGAGCAGATGAAATGTTTGCGGAGCAGCTGAGCCTCACGTCACTCTTTTCTGTTTAGATGTGGCCAGCTGTACTCAGCTGTGCTCAGCTGGGGCACGATCTGGAGGTGACCGCAAAAAAGTGTGAAACTGGTGGGCTTACTGGCCGTTTTGGATTGTGTTGGATAACACCGATATAAGTATATAAAAGTGATAGTTATTTCTCCCACAGTTTCATTTTAGGTCACGAATCGCTACTAGGGAGTCGCTAGCTCCTCGTTGATGTGAAAGTCTTGACATGTAAATTTTATGTCAGTGCTTCTTTAAAAACTTGAAAGTCCGGTCACACTTGAATCATGTGCTCTTGTGCGTCGAGAGTGGGAAGAACTAAGTTGTAAATGTGCTGTCGGCCATCACCATCTTGTCCGATGTCGGGAAAGCAGTGACTCAGAATACGATCAGAGACTGCTTTTGCCACAGGATTATTAACGATTAGACTGGGGATCAACTGCTATCATAGTGCTTCATAAAGAAAGCAACAGAATACCAATCAAAAAGGGTGTAAGGCAGGCGGACACAATCTCCCCAATGCTATTTACCGCGTGCTTACAGGAGGTTTTCAGAAGCCTAGAATGGGAACAGTTTGGGATAAGAGTTAATGGACAGTACCTTAGTAACCTGCGCTTCGCCAATGACATTGCATTGCTGAGTAACTGTCAGTACTCAGAAAGTTACAGAGGACGAATTGCAACTCACGATTACGAAGTTAGACAAGGAGAGCAGAAAGGTGGGCCTTAAAATTAATCTGCAGAAAACGAAAGTAATGTACAACAACCTCGGAAAAGAGCAGCGCTTCGAGATAGGTAATAGTGCACTTCAAGTTGTAAAATACTATGTCTACTTAGGGCTGGTAATAACCGCGGAGCCAAACCACGAGATTGAAGTAACTAGAATAATAAGAATGGTGTGGAGCACATTTGGCAAGCACTCTCAAATTATGACAGGTAATTTTGCCACTATCCATCGAGAGGAAGGTATATAACAGCTGTATCTTGCCGGTACTTAGCTATGGAGCAGAAACCTGGAGACTTACAAAGAGGGTTCAGCTTAAATTGAGGACGGCGCAGCGAGCAATGGAAAGAAAAATGGTAGGTGTAACCTTAAGAGACAAAAAGAGAGCAGAGTGGATTAGGGAACAAACAAGGGTTAAGGATATCATAGCTAAAATCAAGAAGAGGAAATGGACATGGGCCGGGCATGTAACGCGTAGACGGGATAACTGCTGGTCATTAAGGGTAACTAACTGGATTCCCAGAGAAGGTAAGCGGGTTAGGGGGAGACAGAAGGTTATGTGGGCAGATGAGATTAAGAAGTTTGCGGGTATAAATTGGCAGCAGCAAGCACAGGACCGGGTTAACTGGCGGAACATGGGAGAGGCCTTTGTCCTGCAGTGGACGTAGTCAGGCTGATGATGATGATGATGAGACTGGGGATGAGGGCAGTGCCGCAGCTGTGGAACCCGCGATTGAGAATTCCGCCTACTGCAGCAGTGAACATTTTGAACCACTTCCGTGCTAGTGGGATCGATGTAGGGGCGAGTATGTTTGAGGAGTTCGCGAACTTTGGTACTCCTGTCCTGTCTTGCGCAGAGTTGGATGGCGAGGAAATTTTACGTCAGGTCTTAAAGCCAGCACAGGTGAACAGCGACTCTGGCGATGATGCACCACCTTCACCACAGCCATCAAATGTGCATTTAGCGCAGTCTGTAACACTGCAGTTATCTACATATAACAATGGCCAGACACTGGTCGAGATACAGGCCAACTTGGTTGCGCATAAACGTGCCTGTGTGCATTTGTGGATAGATAAGTTTTTATGGGCATTGAGCTTTTTTTTTTCAATTGCATCCTTTTTTCACTCTCCGTTATTTGGACTTTTTGGTTGTTCCTGCCGAGTCCAACAATTGGCGATTGTACCTAATGAACTTCATGTGGTCAAAGTCGGACTGGGATTCCCCAGCTCTGGTGTTCTTCATAGTCATGCCACGATCCTGGCATGATTTACGATTTTTTGTCTTCACTGCTGCAAGCATTCTGTGATATTGAGTGACTACTCTTTTCCATTGTTGCAGATGTGGTGTGGTTGTCACCCCTGGTGGTGTGTGTGTTCCTGGCGGGCATTCCCATCTGGGTGTACCTGTCCAAGCGAAACCCCTACACCCGGGAGGTGCTCTGCACCGGATGGGTGCCCGTCATCTGTGCCATGGGAATCTCCAGGTGAGGCACCTCTCTCACTGGCTTTCTTCTTGGCATCAGGGAGTCGTAAAAGCTTGCTGGTAACTGTACCAATAAATGTTTGGGGTTTTAGGTCCACAGATATGATTATTATAGGTGCTGTTATTAGAGGGCTTTAGAAATTTAAGGTGGTAACTGTACTTCTAAAGTCTTAGTTTGTCGGCAAACATTTTTAGTTTCCAGATTGCCCAGTTACTAGGAGCGATATTGCAGGTAGCCTTGATGGCAATGCACAGTTCTGCTAGACGGACATGCATTTTATTAGGCAAGGCTATTTTACTTTGCTGCTAACATGAATTTTCAGCCGTGGTGGGAGCCATCGACTTGTTGCCTTTTTTGTAGGGGCGGGCAAATGTTAGGACTTTCAAATATTTTTCTAATAGTGAGTGCTATTCGATTTGACTTGCCGCGAAACTTTACTACTTGGAGAGTTCGAAATTCAAGGAAAAAAAAAAGATGTAAAGGTCTATAATGTAAACATGTAAGGTCTTTAATGACAGAAAGTAAAACGGTGGCAAATTGGTGTGCAGCATGCTTTGGCCTTGCTTTTGAGGTTCCGACGGGCGAAATTGCTAGTTGCTTCCACCGATGCTCCAAGCAGTTACTGTGTAAAGAGCTTCGCCAATTATACTGTGAATGTGTGAAATGGCCATCGATTTTTTTAGACGAGCCAGTAAGCGTTATCATTTGTTGCTTAGGACAAGGTACATTGCGGCTTCTTCGCTTTCAAATTGCTGCTAAAATGATTACTTGCTCGCGAAGTTCGGATTCAGGCCATACATCACGGTGGAGTTAGGCCTAGTCACGACTACGAAAAGTAACAACAAGGGTTACAATGTGGGCTTGTCTGTTGCGCTATACATGAAAAGTTTCTGAGAAGTAAGCTTGACTGTGGTGTGCTTGGCTACGGTGCTCTGTGTTTCAAAGCATGTATGTCATGCTGTAGCACGAGCACAAAGTCATTCACGACGGTCTTCATCACAAGGTCCCAAGTGGTGATAAGCAGGATGTCTAACAGCGAGCCAGTCCAAGACACGTGCCCGCTATGTTTGTTACGAGCAGAGCACCTATCGTAATGCGAGGATTAAGCTTTTGCTTGCAGCTGCCAAATTAAAGCATCATTATTTCTAAACTATCATTGACCGGGGAACAAGGAACAAGGTGAAACACATGGTCTAAGTCGCACAATTTACGACAGCTGTGTTCTCGTGATATGCTAGCAGCAAATAATGTTCTCCTGAAGCATGGAATCTGGCCAATGGTGACGTGTGCTGGAGCAACTTGGTCGGCGAAACTACTAGGAAGTCTTGAAACGGAACATCGAACTTTTGTTTTATGCTTGTTTCTGAGGGGAGGAGCAAGCTTGAGCAGGGAAATTCAATAAGGAGAAACGCTCTTTCCAATTAGTGAAAAATGGCGGCACCCGATTGTGTCGTTGCAAAGCTTCAATTTTTTTAAATACTTCTTTTTTTGTTTTTTTTTGTCCCCTAGCAAAAATTCTGTGTACCAGTCTATCAGTGTACCAGTCTATCAGTGTACCAGTCTATCAGTGTACCAGTCTACCAGTGTACCAGTCTATCAGTGTACCAGTACTCGTGTGCCAGCCTATAAGTGTAGCATTCTACTCCGATAGGCCCACAAGCGAATCGGTGCTTAGCCAACTGGCAGGTGCACCACTACATCAGAGCAAGCAGGACACAAATATGAACACAGAAATCAAACAAAATATTTTATTTTATGTGCCATTCCTTGGTTAATCCAGAGTCCTTCAATGCTTTTCTGGTCACGAAACTCCGGCCGAAGTTTCATTCAGGGACAAAAGCTGCCGCTAGGATCGCCCCTGTTAGCGTGAAGGCTTCGCCGGCGGCCGGCGACGCTTGCGGGCCGGCTGTTTCTCCGTCGGCAATGCGCCTAATTTCATCTGCTCTTCATTTCCACCTGTAAAAACGCGACCTGTAAAAACGCGAGCGACGCGAGCGAAGTGTGCGTGTTTTTGATTCAGTTGACGCTTAGCTTAGCTGTGAAATAGAGGCAAGGCCAGGCGTGTTACTGAGTCGTATATGTTGCAGCGTTCGTTCGTTGCGGTAGTCACGGCCGCTACGTTCTCGCTTTGAGAAGGAGGACATCTGGCGTTTTCGATTTTTGAGTAGTCTTTGCAGTTTCCTGCATTTGAGTTAACTAGCACCAGATTTAAATCGGTATATACAGCCCTGGGCGACATGCTGCGCTTAGCAAATAGGTGTGCAAACGTACAGCACGTTGGGTTAGCGCTGTGTCTGCGCGATTTTATAGCGCGCTAATAATGTACAAAAATAACCTAGGTTTGGAAAGTGAGCATCAACATGAAGAAAAACGCTCACGAAATGGAAGCAGCATAATGAGCGCACGTAGGAGTAAATGCTACACACTTGAGCGACTTTCCCGGCTGTCAACATAGGTATAGGGTGTCAACAGAAAAACTCGTATGGTCAGTGTCTGACACACTCGTCCCACCAAAACGACAAGTTAATTGATTACTTGGTTATGAGGTTTAACGCGCTGACGCTATGCAGGCAATCGGGCGCGCACCGTAGTGTAGCCAGAGTCCTTCAAGCATTGAAGGACTCTGGTGTAGCTCTCCGGAATAATTTTAACCACCCAGGTATCTTTAACATGCGCGGGAATCTCTAAAACACAGGCATTTTCTCTTTTCGCCTCCATCAGAAAAGCGGCTGGGAACCCGCGTCCTTGGGCTCATCATCATCAGCACAGCGCCCTAGCCCCTGAGCCACCGCGGCGGGGACACTAAAAAAAATAAAAAAGAAATACAGGCAAAGCTAGCCATGCTCCGCTTTGGAAATTCAAAATACCTGATTGGATAATCAAAATGTCGCCGCCGTGGATTTTGGTTCCGCCACACAGATGACAGTAACCTGACTGGCCACTTGCTGATCGTCGCAGGCAGCTGCCAAGCGCATGCAAATGACTAGAAAACGCGCCGCGGCTGTGGTGCAAGTGTTTATTCATACAAGTTTACGGCAATAGCATGGCGGATAAAGGAAATAAACAACGTCACACAAGCAACTAGGAACACAAATGTGCAAGTGTTTTTTGTCACTAGCAAACACAAAACACAACAGTTGGGCTTTACATAGCATGACAAACAGAACATCTGCTACCCATGGGGCTTGTTGCCACCATTTGCTGGGCAGTTTGCTCGCCGCGTCGCTCGTGTCAGCTTGTTTTTTTCCCTGGTGTAAAAGTGCAGGTGGCACCTCAAGAAAAAATGAACAACCTCTGCTGTGGTACCCACATAGTGCAACCTACAGCCCACACCAGCAGAAGCAATGCGGCTGTCGAGCAAAACTTGGTCAACAATGTTCGCATACACATCGGCACATGCAACTGTGTCCACAGTCAGTTCTTCAACATGTCCTTCCACAATGCGCAACAGGCTGAGAAGCTGGGATGAGGGCACTTGCAGGAATCCTCTTGAGTTCTTCTGGATTAGGTCAGTTGGCTCTCGTGCCTGGCTCTTGAGTGTTCCCACGCAGTCAGTGCAGCTTATCGTTGAAAACTTCTTTACCACGTAACCGGCAAGATAATCAAGAATGCACTCTTTGGTGGAGAGCGTAACGTCGGGCACGGATGCATTGTTCACTGTCTCTCCCGGCTCCTCAAGAACGTCATCAAAGAGGACCGCCAACATGTCAATCTGCAAAATACATTCCAAGTTTCAAATCTTTCAATGTATAAGTTGAGATTCGTAAATGCAAAAACACATTATGTTTCATTTGGTTATTTGGTCATTTGTGTAGTGAAACTGCTCCTGAAAAAAAGAAACTAGAGCTAATAAATAAAAGCAAGGGGCACGTTACCTGACTGGAGGCAGGTTTTCCCTTGTCAAAGAGGCCCTGGAGCTTGAGCAACAGCTGGGGTCCATCTCCCTGACCGAGGCCCGTTTTGGCGGCCGAACTAGGTTGTTTACAGAGAGCATCCGATAGATGAACAAAAAATGTTGCACAGTCGGCTGCCCTCCGTCACCAGCAACATGCCTGACGATGCCGAAAAACCTCTAGAAAGAAAAAATCAATTTATCGCAACAATGAGAAATTCATAGCACATTTATACACATAAAAGTCATCATGTTTACCTCTAGAGGATCTTGTCCGAAGTTCCCAACGAGAACGTAACGAAACCCAGACAACAGCAAGCTCTCGATGAGTGCAACTGAGCTATGCAGTGTCAGTCTGAGGGCTCCACATGTCTGCTTACTCAGAAAGCAGACTTGCCTCTGGGTCGGTAATGTCTTGATGTATTTCTCCCAGTTGTCCAGCCATGCAATGCTGCCCTTCAACACCTGGAATAAAATTATGCTTCATCTATAGTACACGAAAAACACTTCATAACACATGTAATAATCTCACAGCAATGTGTTGTGCTTCGTTGAATCGAACATGGTCTGGCCTCCGAGAGTTCAGGCAGTCGAACAGCTTGTTCAATGTTCTTGTGAATTGCGATGTTGCAGCCGACCCATGGAGCTTCTTGCAGTCTTCCTGCTCGCTATAAAACTCCATGGCCGAAGCAGTACTCTCACTGAACAGCTGTAAAATGTGTGGAAAAAAAGGATTTTAAGTTTACTTCCCAAAACGTGTGAGCAGATGTTTTTGAAATACACTTTGCACTGAACATAGCTGCGTGCATGACTTGCCTGGACAGCCAACTTCACGCTCATCTTTTGGAACGCATTGGGGAAAATATGGGCTTTCGTTAACTTCGGTACAGCCCGGAGTCCAGCCTGTTCTTCTTCATAGTCCAGTAAGTCCTTGTAGTGACAGTGGAACACCTCCTGTCCTTGAGGGAGCTGCAACATAAGGACAAGTGACAAATTTTTTTTTTAAACTGAATAGTTTATGCACAGGTCAAGGCATTCACATGCAACTTTTTTTTACTTACCAAAAACTTGCCCACTTTGAGCAAGTTGTTTCTGATGCACTTAAATATGTGCGGTAGATCAATTACAACGTGGACTTGCTTTGAGGGCTCACACGGGTGTTCAAAACACGTTTGAAGCTTGTGCATGTCCCCGTTGACACCTTGAGAGAAAAATAGTTTAATAGTACACTTGTTTTTCTACTACATCACTAACCACAGCTAAATAAAATTTGAAAAGACGTACCCAGAGATCTCAAGGCTGATTGGTTTGATGTGGAGTTGTCGCAAATCACTGCGTCAACAACAACACCAGCGTTTGTAAGGTGAACAATGCACTGCAAAAGGAGCTTCGCCACGATTGATCCTGGGGCAGCACCAGAAGCACAAAATGTGCCCACAGTTTGTGACCACCCTCCCAGAAAAGGCCGAAACAGAAAGACCAGCACGTGGTCGCCGTCTTTGCCATGGTCACCTGGTCGTGTGTGTTCGGCGAAATCCACCTTGCCCAGCAGTGCCATGTCCGACTCGCGAATGTGGACGCTTTTTCTGACGCTCATTTCATCGAACATGAGCACTCCTGGAAAGTTTTGGGTAGGTTAACATCTTGTCTCAATTGCGCTGCTGAATATAATACAATTATAAAAATGAGTACTGCTTCTTACCTCGACGCTCTCTTTCTGGAACTGCTTCTAGCTTTTCACACAGAACTGTGAACAAAGTGCTGTCGAAGCCAAAATCAGCTTTCAGATTTCTGAGGTAGCCATAGAGGGTGCGGGGATTTGGAAGGGGCAAAAATTCATTTTCATGAAGAAAAGTGTAGACTGCTGTGGACTTTATCTTTAGCAGCAAGCAGTCATAAATCCACTCTTTTTTGTACCTGGAGAGAATGAATTGCAAATTTGTTTTCCACAATGAGCGTGTTGGAAACTATTCATGCAAAGCAAAAAATAATGAGAATGGTGTTATAAAAACTGAAGAAAGTATATTTGCCCAAACAAACCTGCAATTTTTCCCGAAATTAGAAATAACACTACACAAAACGGCCAAACCAATGTCTGCCTCAATAGCATATTGTTTTGCGGTACAACAGATACAAATACATGATGAATAAATGAAGGCTACACCTTGAGATAACATTTTCAAACGCAAAAGGGGCAATCCAATAGCAATGTTACGTGTGTGATGGGGTATTTGGAACTTACCGCGCAGCTGTTGCAGATTTCGCGTTGGCTTTCATGAGCCAGTGGTCAAAAATGAGCTTCTCGCGAGCCGAAAGCTTCTGAACGTCTTGGTGCGATCTTCTGCTCCTATTCGCTTGCACTGTCAATTTCGCAATCTTCACTTGGCACAAACGAAGTTGCTGCTTAGTGCTTCGAAGCTGGTCTTTAACTGCGTGGAGCTCTGAGATGGAGCAGACATTTCCCTCTGTCTGGCATGCCATCTCTGTGCAGCTTCCAGTGCTTATCACTCCACCTGTCAAACGAAGAAATATGGATCAATATAATGCGACATCACGCAGCACACAGGCAATACAGGCTCTCAAAATAGTGAAACAAGAAAACAAGGCAACGCGAATGGAGGCTTACCATCATCTCCGGCTGCTTCAGGATCGCAGGGCTCTGTGCTGGAGCTCACAGAAGCTGCAGTGCCATCGTTGTTCGGCGACGAAACGCGACGACGTTTTGCAGGCGGATTTTCTCGCTGTGAGCGCGACCGTGGCTTGGGCTTCGTAAGATACGCCGGCAGGTTTTCAAATATCCGGGGTATGGCACCGACGCGGAGCTTAGGCTTCTCGCGCTGCAGAAGCACAGATTGTCCACTTATTCTGAACTCATCGGCTCGAATAATGTCCGTGGTGTCGAAATGTTTCTCGCACACACGAACGGCCTTCGACTCGAAGTTGAAAGCGCCCGTCTCCTGTCGTGGAATGGCTCGCTTCCACCTGTCGCGTTGTTCGCGGTCGCTTGGGAGGCAGAACAGCGAAGCTTTTTCTGTACAACTCCGATAGCCAGAGCGGCAACCAGGTACGCAGCACGTCAGAGGCATGGTAGTTCACATAGTTTGCCGTCCGTGATGAGTGTAGACAGCTATACCACACAACAAACAAACCAGTAAGCTCGGGCTCCAACGCACTGCAAACGCTGCAAATGCGGCCGCCGCCGTCCAAGCCGCCTTCACCAGACTCGTAGCGCCACCGCGCGGGAGCTTTGATCCCCATATGAAGCTCTCCCATAGCGTTACGGAGAAGTTTCGTGACCAGAAAAGTATTGAAGGACTCTGGTTAATCTTTTGATTTCATAAAGTCATTAATTTTGTTTGCCAAAGCTTTATTGAGGAGCTTCTTCATTTGCTCAACCTCTCCAATCAGAACGGTGTGCTTCAAAAAAATGGTTGAAGAAATCTGCATGATCAAAAACAAAGCAAGTTACAGGCACTCATTAAGCGACAATTATGTGCACTCTAAATACAGGAGTCAATATGACAAGGAAATAAGTAGGAGTGCTCCCAGTCTGCCTCTCTAATATTGTTTAAAATTAGTTTGTGGATGCTTGCATAAAAGTATCCAGCTCCAGCAGGCAAAAGCTACACTTGAAGCTTTAGTAAGTAATTATAACACAAGTTGGCAGTGAAAACTCGGCTGATTACGTGCAAAAATAAAGCCACCAACTTCCATGAATTTTGGTCAGATTGCAAAATTTCACCTACCTGAAAACACAGCATATGTTTCTTTCTCCTAGGGAGATTTCGCCTCCCCTTTAGACCGATTGGAAGCTGCGCCAGTAACACTTCTACCGACTTGGCCTGCTGTATAAAAAATGGTAACGGCCGCCTCACGAACAAAACGGGTCTGTCTTTTCAAGCCCATGGGGTGATTGTACAACCTCTTGGGAACGGCAATTCCTTTGCTCTGATGCACCTATAAAACAAGTCAAAGATGATGTGCACACATTAGTTTGTCAATGCACATTTTCTCATTAAAGCAAAGCAATATATCTTCAAGACAAAGCATACTAGAGTTTTAAGATACCTCTCTGTCAGTGGGCACATAATTGATAAGCGGTGCAGCCTCCCTCACACTTGAGTGGGCTACTTCAGGGCTGTCCGTGGTCGCTGTGGTGGTTCCAGCGTGGCAGCACATAGTGGTGGCAAAGGTGCAAGTCGTTTGTTTTTGAGGCTTACGGCTGCAACACCCGCAAAGGACAAGGTTCTTTGCTCCAATGAAAAAGTAGAGTGTGCAGAAATAAAGTATATTGCACCCTTAATTGTCGCGGTAGCATCCTAGGTGTGCATGGTCAAATAATATATATGATAAACATAGCATGCAGTTGAGATATGCAATTAAGGTGTAATGATACGTTGCATGTCACGTCTCAAAACCATAGTGTGATTATAGGGGATGCCGTAGTGGAGGGCTCAAGAAATTTTGACCAAGTGGTGTTCTTTTTAATATCCACCACACTGTGAAAGTTGTAAAAGCACATTTTCAAGTGATTATAAAAATATGCATGCATCCATGCCACCCATGAGCTTACATTGCATTCTGCTTTTCAGCAAAATTGCACGCTACAAGAATAGGGCAACTTGCTGCTGCATACAACCCTAGCAGCAGTGCGTTACAACAGCTTATGAAGAAATGATAAACCTGTTTGGAAATTTTTGCTGCGAAGGGCATTTTCCAGTAGGCTTATTCTTTCTAATGCTTTTGTATTTTGAGCCCTGAGCATATATATCCACTTATTTCAGAAGCTCTTTCTCTGTTCTTTTTTTCAGCATTAGCAAACAGCAGGCCTCCCTGCTGCTTCTTAAAACGGTTGCTGACGTGCTTTGTCTTCTGCTTAACAGCAGCTTGACGTCGTGTTTCTTACAACTGCAGACAACCCAACACACAAATTTCACTGCTAGTTCGCAAGCACAAACAGGGCGTATATCCACACAAGCAAAAATAATTTTAAACCAGTCAATTGTACAAAAAAATGTGACTAAGCTGCGCTCATACTACGATAGAATAAAATAAAATACCTATTCAGCATACTGCAACTTTACTAACACTTTCAATACGACGTTCCGGCGCCCGCGCAGTAGTGGAGCAGCGATGCTCTGATATATTCGCTAAGGGGGCGGGGAGTATATCAGAGCATTGGTGCTTCATGTGTGACACGGCACCACGTGCAGAGCAAAATTGGCTGTCGATTGTAATTGCGCCGCAGTAGCACATCAGCCGCAATGTCAACGATAGCCAAACTTGGCTGTCGGTAATAATTACGCTGCAAGTAGCATATCAGCTGCAGTGTGACCAATTACAACATACTTTTTTAAACGACTCATTGTCCACTTCATTTGAACTGCAGCTATCGGAGAAGTCGCAATCGGGTCTGCGGAATGGAACCTTGCCCGGAATGGCAAGGTCGGAATGGATGCTCGTTTTTCTGTTGCATTCCTTGCATCATCCTCGGTGCCTAAGAAAATATGACCAGTAAATAACTTCAGAACGACTGTTTCTTCCTCTTTGTTCTCGTATTGGGAATACAAGAGGCGCGGACTTACCGTAAAGCTTAATCACTTGAGCGTGATAGTGGCCGCAGTGTGTGTTATCCTTCCAGAACACCCGGTACCACTTGTGAGGATCAAAATTGCCTGTATCCTTTGGATTGATGTACTTACATGCACTTACCGGGACTATTAATTTTAATTATCATCGCGAAACCAAACATCTTGGAGAATTGCGAGTGTACAGGCGCGATACTGAGCAATGAAGAGACGCAACAATGTTCACATGCACTACACACGCACCAACGCCGCCACGAACTTGCTATTGATGACGATGGCAGTGCCATTTGTGGATCTCCCAAGTAGTTTATGCAACCACGAGTCCACGACTTCTTCCTCAACACAACGCAATTTAGTTTTTGAAAACAAAAACATTTATTTGCAAAACATTTACTTCATGTTTATACAACTTTAGAGGGGAGTTTTTTAGAGCTCACAGCAAATAATATATAAACAATGAATGCAATTACTGTAAAATGGTGACGTTGTGCATAGCCTCCAAGATGGCATACGCGCAATGACGGGCGCGCAGTGGCAATTTCAGAGGTCATGCGCTGTGTCGCCATATTCGCGTTGGTTAGGCTAGGTGGCGTTAGCAGTTGCCCAATTTAAAGGGTACAGCCATATCAATCCATTCATCCATTTATCTATCACATTAATATGGCTACAATCATCTAGCCATAATGGCAGTCAGCGACCACCATGGCGACGACCACCTTCCTCCGTGGCGACCACAGTACAATACACCTTCACCACGCGAGGGGTTCTGTAGAGTCACTACCTCGCGCCGTGATTTCGCGGCACATGTTATAGTTTTCGGCAAAATCCGCGCCGCGTGCTTAACATTCAAGGCACAGCAAGCAGGTTGTGAATGTGAAGCCTTGGTCGAAGTAATCGATCTTTACCCGTTCACTTATTATCAGTCCCGCAGCCTCACTTTGCGTGGACACCATCAAGCGCGCTATTTGAAGTTTCTGTCAAGTTCGACGAGAGATGGATTCAACTCAATTCTAGCCTCGATCAAGAAGAAGAAGAAAAAAAAAAACGCTATTTCGAGCCTGGATCGCAATATGTAGTACCTCGAACAAGGAGCGGTGGAGGCGCAGTCGGCCAACCAGCTACACTCAGCAAGAGCATTCCTCAGTCTTTAGCTGGTAATTGATGTTCTGGAGTAGCGGCCTTCGACACGTGAAGTCTGAGTGATGCGCATGGTGACAGCAATGAAAATCCTGATCCTGACGACACTTACGGCTTCGAGGAAAACTCGCTCAGCGATTCCGACCGGACTGCAGATGCGGCTCACGACAATGTTGGCATGAGCGACACTTTTAAATGCAACAATGGCATGTATTTTACACTGGTGCATGTCAATAAACTGCCAGGCTCTGTGTGTGTGCTCATGTGTGTGAGGCTTACATCAAAACTATTCAAGAACCCATCTCACATTGGTATTTGCTCAGAAACAGAGAAAAAAAGTTGTGCTCGAAGGATGTGGCCAGTGTGTTTGCACATGAAAGTTGGATGTGTTTGCTATGTTGCTGATGTACCAAACTTGTTTAAAACTTGTGACATATATAGCCAGTCTAATATGAGTTTAGCAAGGTAGGACAACTAAATGTTGGCTCGATCCTTTCTATTGTTGTTCTCTTCACAACTGAACTTTTCTCATGGTAGGCAGTTTCGTGCGTGTGTGTGTGTGCGTGCGTGTGTGTGTGTTTTGCAGTCAAATGCTTTAGCCTTAATTAGTACATGGTTTTTGATTTATCAATCTTGTGAGGATTACAGGCAAGTAATATAGCAGGTCTGTGCCACCGCTTGAGCTTTGTGAAAAGACACACCTGTGAATAACAGATGCTGCTATCATCATATCAGCCAAATCTTGCAGCTGCAAGTGACTTTTTTCATATAGATGACTGTGCTCACTTCGAATTTTCGGACGCCTGTATGTGGTGTAAAACAACTGAAAGCATGCTATTGGCCTATAGCCAAAATAAATCAAGAGCAGCGTTTTAATCGAATGTGCTTCTTGCCACAGTGTGCTGCCACATGCTGGCACTGCTGTACAAAATCTTCTAACATTGTATAGTCACACTCGCACGTGGGAATGGCAACAAGAAAAAGCTACAGTGTTTCTTCTAGCATGCTCTAGCTCATAATGTGTGCTTACATATCGCACTTCTTTACTGCCATTCCTCCCTGTAGTTTTCGGCGCAGCTTGTTGGGACCGACGAGAAAAAAAAGAAAGCGGTTGAAGTGCGCAATAAACCCCTCAACTTGCTTTGAAATATTTCTGGCAGTGGATTTGCGAGGCATTAAGTTTTGATGATGAGGTCAATTAATGATTACTCAAAGAAGCATTTCATTGTTTATTTAAATTATCTCATCCAGTATGGATTATGACACTAATGTAGTGGCTTGTCATTAAAGGCAAAGCACTATGTGGGAGAGACAGCTGGGGTTGGCTTGTGTTGTGAAAGGGAGAAACTGCAGCACCACCCGAGGCTTTCGAATCCACGCCGTTTGGAAAAATTATTGTATCGGCAAGCTCATTTCACAGTAGTGGACTGATTATTGAGTTATCTCCCTTGGAATGTTTAGTGGCCCTATAACTTAAAATTCAGAAATTATGTCAATATTGCTCTGAGATGAGAAGTTTTGTTTGTATTGTTTCAAGTTATGTTTATACTGTCATCTGATAAGCTTTGGATACTAGTATCTTGAAATTTCTAGACGTCATCTATCATTGTCAGCATTAACTGTGTTGCTATCTGGCACCTGCAATCCCATTTGTACACAGAATAAAGCGTTCATCTAGGCTGAAAGCTGCTTTGCATATTTAAAGCTCAGTTTGTCAATTATGCACCACCATGAAACATTGTACATTTTATTCTATGCATCCAAAAGCTGCCAGTTGCACTCTTTGAGTCATCATAATATTTCACACAATGATCGTCAAGTGTTCAATAGAAAACACTGATACACTAATATACATGCAGAAATGACCAATGACATATATGTGGGCAGTGTGTTAAAAAAAAGAAGTACCGTTAAAATGACAGTAATGCATCTTGAAGATCCGATAAATGAACAAAAGACTAAAAACCTAAAGACTAATATATGCCATAGAAATGACCAATCAAACTTATTCAAAAGCTGGTAGCACTGGTAAGACTGTGTATCAGTCTGATATGAGACTGGTAGCACTGGTAAGAAAATGTATCAGACTGATATGAATGTCTATAAGAACTGGTAAGACTTTGTATCAGTCTGGTACAAGACTGGTACAACTTATAGGAAACTGTATCAGACTGATTCGGACCTCTATCAGAGTTTTTGCTAGGGTCTCCTTATTTCTTTCTTTTTTTTGCGAGTTTCACAAGTGATTTTCACCGTGTCAGCAGGTGAAATAAACTTTTGCTGCACCTTGAGGTACACTCAAAGCTCAATATAAGGAAATATCGGTTATAATGAAAAAATTGAAAAATATTCTTACAATTTATACTGTGTTACGATTAAACTTTATAAAAAATTATTTGATGTGATATAATTAGCTTATTTTCTTTTAAAATGCAACTTTGTTACAATGAGGTTTGGGTGTAGTTCTCAGTGAATATATTTTGGATAAGATATCGAAAGTGCTACATTAGCTGAGAAATGTGATTTTGAAGAAAGTGTTTCTGTTTTCCACGCACTCTCATTACTCGGTGTACTCGAAAGCCGTGCACAGAAAACAAGTGACCTCTCCTGCAAACACTGATGCAGGCTTCAACATGTAATGTGTTTTTAACACCACTTTCATTGTGCTAAATCACGTAAATAAGTGTAATTTAACCTCTGCATTTCCTCATTATTTATTAGACATGTAACCCCTCCAGTGCTGTATCAATCTAGCCAAAATAAGCTCTTTCATGTTTATACCACATAATAATATGCTTAGGGTTGCTCTGCAGCTTTTGTTTTCGTGTAATTTGGCTTCAAAGTATTGAAAAAATATTCAGGAAGCATTAGAAAATTATTTCATTTGATTTTCATTATTCAAGTTCACTTCTCACTCAAAATTTTGCTTTTTGTACAGCTCTCCTATTTTGATGTTCTGCAATAGAAGCAACACTCCTGAAAAAAGGAAACGTCTTTAAGGGCTATGGGGTATACATAGTGTCGAGAGATGTATGTATGAGCATCTGGCAACCACGTCTTGTGCTGATGCATATACCAAAAGCTCAGGCTCCCTAAACCTCTCTTAGGTTTCCACAATGCCGGAATACTGGATAGTTTTATGGCAGCAGCAATGATGGTAGCAACATATATGTCGCAGAATCACACACACAATTCACATAAATAATGCAACTTGAATGTAAACATTCGACAGAAGTCTGTCTAAATGGGTATGAAACTGGGAGATGATTTAGACTCCAACCAAAAGTTTTAATGAAACCCGACGTTTCGAAACCGACTTGGTTCGTTCCTCAGGGGGACTGTGGAGACTACATAGCAGCGGCGTCTTCAAAGCACTCGCAGGGTGGATAATAACCCTGTTCTCTTTCTCTCGTTTTGCCGTGGAGGGCAGTCCATGTGTATACACTGGGGGAAGGGTTACGACAGAGGTTATGGGCTGTCCTCTGCATGTGCCACGACTCGAGTAATAACCTTCGCCTCCAGTCGAAACGTCGAGTTTCTTCAAAACTTTTGGTTGGAGTCTAAATCATTTCCTGTGTCTTACTAAAGTGATGGCATAAAGCATTTCAATTAAACTTCTATATGACAAACTCTGTAAAATTGGCTATATTTACTTTATTGTATTGCCACTTCAATTTAATACAACCGTGTCTGCAAGGTATAGTTGTCAAAGAATCCAGTTTTGAATGGGAAGTGCTGAAAGAATGTCTAAGTGATACGCCAGTAAACAAGCTCATTTCATTAGGAATTCAATTAAGTAAAAAAATTTTTTTTAACTTAAGTTACGGGGACCACGATTTCATAGTCCCTTTTACAGCAGCCATACATCGCACGCAAAGCCGGAAGATATGCAAGGTCCAGCACATGCTGGTAATATGAGTTAAGTGAAGTCATCTTGCCTGTTCTGCTACTGCGATTTTTCATCAAAACTTCACATGATGTACCCGTCTAGCACAATGCCGTCTGTCACATCCAGTGAACTGAGCAACATGTTTTCTACGAGCTCTAATGAACATGCAATGTCAAAAACTATGACACACCTCAAAATCTAGGAAGCTGAAGTCCAATGTCCCTTAAAAGCAAGGCAAAAACATAGAACACCTTCGTTTTGGCAGTAATGTTTTTTTCTATTTTGTGACATCATGCGTGTGTATGTCTAAAGAATCGAGCCAAGGCTTGGTACATTTTGCTGCAACTGTGCATTGGTTCAGCAACAGTCGGCTTTATTTTTGGACATCCGCATGATTTTATAGAGTAAGTGATCAAATGGATTGAATTAATCCATGGATGGCTAGTGCGTCAGATTCAGTTAATAATCATGCTGTACTTCAAGTGCCTCGTTTGTGTCATTTGGAGACCAATAAATGTATTGTGAATGCCTTCATTGAAGCTCGGCCATTGGTTGCTTGAAAGTCACCGGTATAGGCAATAAGCAGCCTTCAGTGAACAATAATATGAAGAAATCAAGAACCACTTTCCCATCATTTTTGTCACAGCTTTGATCAGTCCAATTCTTCTACATGAAAGATTCTCCTAAAAAATTTGTTGTGGTGCATGTGTCAATCTCTTAAGACCAGTATGGCAAGGAAGCATTCTGAATCCTCTGAAACAACCTCTTCGTTTTATTTTTGTTGGTTTCAGTGTTGGTGGATGCATCCTAGACGCTGCTGTCACTACATACCATGGCCTTGCAGTCTTTCAGCCTGTGATAAATGGTGAGTAGAGTGTGCAGTCTTGAATTACACTTGAATGTACAGTGTAGACCACTTTTTAGTATATGTCATTGCAGTTGTGAATGTCTGTGCTACAAGTGGAAAAGCATTACAACCAAAAAGACCTTTGTTAAGGCTGTACAAATGCCATACAGCAGCGCCATCTTTGCTGACGTCAGTGGCGGATTCAGCGAGGACAAAAGAGAGCAAAAAAGCGATTGCCTGGAAGTGTTTTCCAGCATGAGAGCCAGTGGACTGCTGTGTTAACGTCTGAAATGCCTCATGCCTGCTCGCATTTCTTGTGACATGAGCGCATGGTTCTCGGGCAAAGGCACGGGAAAGTGGGTTGACCTGTGAGACTTGGCAGAAAACGACGTGCATTGATCGAAGGGACTTTTTGCGTGTGGATTGCTCTGGCGGGCACCCTTTATAGTCCCGCGCAGCTTTCTCGTCAGCCACGAAATCTGGCCACACCATATTTAGCACGTCACATTCACACGAAAATTGATCATTCTTATATACCAGCTCATGCCAGGCTGCATCATCCTGACCCATGTGGGTTTGCTCAACGTATTGCAAAATCAAAACACCTCAACAGCTGCACTCGAAACTCGAGTTAGGCAGTATTGTAATCATTGGTGAATTTTTATCCATCAGCTTGTCGATTGTTCGCTCAATGTCTCCTCCTCCCTCAGTTCACTATTGTTGTGACCTCTACGGCTGGAATGTCTTCGTTCTGAAGTGTGCTCGCCATCCTGCATAACAACACTATTTTGCCAGCAGCTACAGTGTAACCAATTTCTCGTCTTTAGGGGGAGCGTGTGCATTAGTCAAGTACGTCGACTCCCAATAATTCAAAGTCGCTTAATTGGAATTATCGGTTAATTGGAAGTGGAGTGGAGGTCCCGTCAGTTTTGCATGCAGTTAAACAGGAAGAAATTCTCGGTAATTGGAAGCTAGAGTTCTGAAATTTCGGTTAATTCGAATTTATTTTCAATCGAATTCCCGGAGGAAATCGTAATGTTTGTTAAATTTTCTATTTTCATAGTGCTAAACAACAATGCGTGTCTGACTGGCACCCAAGGGCATAGCAGTTGACCACAGCGCCGCAGTTCAAAGCGTCAGCTGATTTCACCGCAGTTGCATGCAGCGCTCCAGATCACGAAGCGGCTGCTCCGGCCGTTCCGGTTCTGGGCCTCATTGTTGATCTCGTTAAGGTCGTGTGCGGACTCAGCATTTCCACGTGCGATGAAGCTCCACGTGCATTTACTATGGCAACTCGCGGGCCTTATCAGACGCTTGACTTGGCGACGAAAGTCAAAATTTTGAAAGGAGTTGAACAAGGAGGCACCGCCAAGCAAGATATTGCGCAGAAATACGGCATCAAGCCTAATACCCTGTCTAACATCCTGAAGAACAAGCGCTCGGTACTGGACGCATTAGAAAATGACCAGTTCAAGATGTCTCGCAAGAGAATGCGCACCGGCGCCCCCCCGGAGGTAGAGCAAGTGCTGCTCATCTAGATTCGGGAGGCTCGAAGCAACAGACTTCCTCTCAGCGGCGATATCGTTGCAGCGAAAGCGTCATCGCTTGCGATTATGCTAGGTATCGAGAACTTTGCTTCGTCCGATGGGTGGCTCACACGGTTCAAGCAGCGCCACGATATGGTGTTTAAAAGCGTTAACGGGGGTAAGGCTGCCGTCAACGCTGAAGCATGTGATACGTGGAGGGAAAATCAGCTTCACAAATACTTGGGAGTATATCGGCCGGAAGATATCTTCAATGCCGACGAGACAGCACTTTTTTACAGAATGTTGCCCGAGAAGACCCTGACCTTCAAGGACGATGACTGTGCAGGAGGGAAGTGTAGCAAAGAAAGAGTGTCGGTGCTGATAGCGGAAAACATGATTGGCACTGAGCGATGTCGCCTGCTCGTTATAGGCAAAGCTGCTAAGCCTAGTTTCAAGGGCGTGAAAACGCTGCCTGTTGACTACGCGTCTAACAGGAAAGCGTGAATGACTGCAGAACTATTCAAGGTTTGGCTGACAAAATTGGATCGCAAGTTCGCGTTATCTAAACGCAATGTATTGCTCCTTGTGGACAAATGCAGTGCACGCATGAATGTGCTGCCCTTGAGTGCAGTACGTGTCGCCTACCTGCCAGGGAACACTACATCGGTGTTACTACCACTGGACCAGGGGATCATCAAAAACGTGAAAGTACTGTACAGGAAGCATCTTGAGCGGATGCTGTTGTGTATGGACAATGCAAGTCAGTATTAGGTGAGCCTTCTCAGTGCTATCCATATGCTGGCGCGAGCGTGGGGTCGCGTAAAGGATGAAACCATTGCGAACTGCTTTAGGGCGTGCGGCTTCATTCCAAGTGGTGCAGATGATGACGCGTCTTGTACAGTGGGGGAAGAAGACACAAGTGAGCTTGACGTTGATGGTCTCCTGCCAGCCCTCGGCGACGTCCCTTTCGAGGAGTACATTGCCGCTGACAGTTCGGTAGAAACATGCGGTGCACTGTCGGGCGCTGAGATCGTGGAGATGGTTCGGCCAAGTGAGCCTAGTCACGAAACTGAGGTTGACGACGACGACGACGCAAGTGAGCCACTACCGCGGGCTGCTGATGTAGCCGCAGGCCTTGCCCTCGCGCAGTGGTTTTTCACTGCTGAGAGCAACGCCGAGGAAGCACTCGGGCACATATACAGCCTGCAGGACTTGCTTTCTGCTGCAAGATTCAGCAAACAGAACGGCAATCACAGATTTTTTTCACATAAACTGCTTTGAAATAAATGTATTTTTCGTTCATTGTTATTAATTGGAGTTCCGCTTAATTCGAAGTTTTTTGCGGTCCCCGTGAACTTCGTATTAACGAGAGTCGACTGTAGTACGGGCATACATAGAGTTCTATGGGAGAGCAAACGGGAATAGGAAAAATCGTGCTACAGCCAATCCTGCACTTTGAATGGTTACTTTAGAAGTTATCTGTACTGTACTGTCAAGTGCAGCAGTAACAAATTTCCTCTGTATATTGAAGGACTCATCTTTTTCTAAAATAAATTTTTGTTTGCAAACTTGGATGACAGTCTTCAGAAAAGGCTGGAAAATGGTTTGGTGCCAGGTCTTGAGTCCTGGTTGAGAAAGAATTTTTCTTCTACAGTTTCTGAAACTTTCTGAGCAATCTTTCTAAAAAAAATTAAAAGTTTTGCACTGCACAAAAGTAGGCTCAGTTTCTTTTGCCAATGCAGCAGCTTGATCCATTTCATCGAGCAGGTTGCCAACTTTGTAGGCACACATGTTTGTGTGATGGCCGGCTTACCACTTGCGGTGCTGAACATTGCTCCTGTGGAATTCAGTGTGATGAGAATTAGTGGGATGGGCCACAAAATGCACAGCAACCAATTGTTCTTCATCCACTCAGTCATTGTAGTTGTGCTTGAGAAGATGCCTGTGCGCCTGTGTTTCAGGGGTTGGGGGCAACCTGGTGGCCATCCAGTCATGCAAGCTGACCACCCTGTTGGCCCAGCGCTCCAAGTTGGGCAGCCACCCGAGCTCAGACGCCAAGAGCTGCATCGACCCGTGCTCTGCGTTCTGTGGAAAAAGTGAGTGGAGACGTTTTTTTTTCTCTGTAGCCGCCACCAATGTTTTTTTAGATTGCCCTTTGGAGATGCAGTAAAACCTTATTAATTCAGTTCTCGGTAATTGAGAATATCTGGTAGTTGAGAATATCTGGTAATTGAGAATATCTGGTAATTCAGACATGTTCTCTGGTTTTAGCAAGCTTGTTTGTGTTGTTTAGTGGCATAAAACTCTTGTTAATTTATTTGTGTTTGGCCACGACCCGGTTTATGTGTACAATCCTTGAGTATTACAAGCGCAAAGCGCCTCATATGTGCAGTGCAAAAAAAACGAAAGCAGCGTTTGTGAACAGCCGAAACGGCCATAGGCTTTCAGAAAGGCATGGCTGTCATCTACAACCACGTCATTGACACGTAATAAGGTACACTTTAGGGCACGCTTTGGATTAACACGAGGCTCTTGAGCCAGCTTCATTGTGAACGAAATTGCAAATGATGAAAATGCTTGTTTTGTACTTCTCTTACACAAAATAATTATTGAATTCAAGTATTCCTCAAGAAAATGATAGTCCACCAAATCGAGAGAAACATTTTATTATTGTTTTCTTGATACTTTTGACAATTTGGCCTTCGGTCGAATTCGGACAGCTTTTCCAGTCCTATTGAAATCTGAATTAACAAGCTCTTACTGTACAGTCGAACTTTGTTATAACGGACTAGCATTGAGACGACAAGTTGGTTCATTACACCCGATATTCACTGTAACTGCAGAGACGAAAGTCAGGTCTCTCAAATCTGCAATCCGGCTTATACCACGATCCCACATATAAAAATGCATTATTTTAGGTTTCAAACCTGCTCTTAAAGATCTTATCGATCTCATTACCGTCACATGAGCTTTAAAGGTTTTCCTGTTTTGTTCATACGGAGGATCAACCAGTGCAATCAGCTTTCTCATTATTGTCCTGGAAGACCAAGATTTCCACAACTTTTAATAACAATTAGTATTGAAAAAGATGCGGTTGGGACCTGTGTTTCACTATTTATTTTGTTTTTGATTTGCTACCTTTACAGTTTGATGCTTCCACGAACCGAATACGTCTTTGTAAAAGCCGATGTTGTCATCTGGGAATACAGTAGACCAGGGGTATCAAACTTCATTCCAGCTAGTGGGCTTAATTAGTCTTCAAACTTAGTCTCACAAGGCCCATAACAGCGAAGAAAGTCTAGGCGGGGAGGGGGGGGGGGAATTCGAACGAAATGTCTCGTAATGTTTCCATTTGAGAGAATGCTTTTTCCATATCTCACATGCGGGTCATGTCCGCAGGGGAGTTGACGTACATTTTGACAAAGATATGCATACAAATCTGCAGAATGATTAAAATACCAAAAGATAGTTTTTTTCTCTACAGGGATGCTTTTTTCAACACATGTTGACTGCACGGGGTCTCAGGACAAAAGTAGGCAGGAGATCGGTTCATTTTTGTGGCTCCTCTGAACAAAGTGTTTTTAATTGCGACAGTTGAGGAAAAAATGCAGATATCATTGAGCAAAGGAGTATACGAAATCCTTGTGAAGCCGTGGGCCGCATGTTTGAGACCCCTGCAGTGAGTCCGCCGTGGTGGTGTAGTGGTTAAAGTGCTCGGCTGCTGACTCAAAAGGTCGCGGGTTTGATCCCGACCATGGCAGTTACATTTTGGTGGAAGTGAAACGCTAGAGGTCCGTGTACTGTGCGATGTCGGCGCATGTTAAAAAACACTAGATGGTAGGCTTGTGCGAATAGAGAATTTTAAGTTTGAAGCGAATAGTGATTTTAATCGTATAATCGAATTCGAATAGTACATATGACACATAAAAGAATGGGTATATTTATCATGGCGTAACTAACCTGCACAATACTTTTTAAAAATTGAAACAGGGCCTCCATGCGAATGCCATTTCTTTTTTCATTCAAAAGAAGTATAAACAACTTTGAGTACTGCCAGGACTTGACTTTCAGCATGATGAGAGTCAGCATGATGAGAGTTCATAACTCTCAAAATACGTAACATTTAAAAATATATTATATTCAGAGCATATAAGCTGTCATGACAAATTTTTAAAGGGTTCGTAAAACACCAACAGACGCTCGGGTGCTGCTCTGCATGTTTTTCCTCTATGGAGAACAGCTGTCGTGACGTCAAGTGACGCGGCGTACAATACAAATGACGCTGCGGGCCAGAGACGCTGTCATTAGGCGAAAGAAAGCCCGTTTTCTGCTAGCACATGCACGCGCCTGTTGCGTTTTCACCATGGACGCTGAGGAAGGGCACTAGGAGAGGTGGTCAAACGAGCCGATCTTTGCTGCCTAGCAAAGGAAAGAGCGAAACGAGTAAACGGGTGGAATTCCACTAGCATTCACAGCATACTCGCACACAACTGCAATGCCACATGTACATTTCTGCCTCTGTGTGGATTAAAGGCCTGTTAAGCTTAATAAAATAAATTGATTTGAGGGTGATACAGTCAAATCTCATTATTTCAAGCACGCTTAATTCGAACTTCCGGTTAATTCGAACTCACGATGAGGTCCCTTCAAAGTTATGGGTATGTCAATGGGCGAAAACGCCCGGTGGTACGATCGCACAAGCACTTCCGACGGCTAATTCGAACATACCGCGCTCCGAAAATGCTCTCAGCACCCTGCCCAATCCCGCGGCATCACCTGCGACACCTCAACGCTGCCCGTGAAGGAAAGAAAAGGCTGCGGTGGAATGTTTGCTCTGTCTCAAATGTCGACTTGGTACGCGCCTGTGTCATGCTTCTCCCTTTTCCGTCTCTGCCAGGTAAAGACCCTCCGCCTTCTAACACCGTCCGCGAAGTGAGAGAGGAAAAAAAAAAGAAAGCCCTCGCTGCGTTTATGGTTGAAGGAAAGGAAAAAGGCACTATCATTGGCAGCCCTTGCCCCTTGCGGGAGCATGGCTCTGCGCCTCGAGGGGGGGGGGGGGGGGGGGTCTCTCACGCGCCGGTGCCACGCTTTCCCGTTTTCCTTCCCTGCCACGTAACCCTGAAAGTGTCGGCGCTGGACATTTCTGCGCGCAACTTCTGTTGCCAGGAGAATGCTGAAGCCGAAATAGAAATGCTTTGCAAGCTGCATGCGAAATTGATTGACTCACTGCAAGGCAAACGTGTGCAGACGCGCATCACCGATTACTTCAATTAATAATGGATGCCCTGTGATTTGTTGAATAAATGTAAGTTTTTCTAAACATCTCCCTCGTGTGTTAGCTCAATGCACATGTGCCGCTGCATGGATAGCCCACCGTTTATTTAGCTTTCATTAATTCGAACAAATTTTCTGGTCCCTCCGAGTTCGAATTATCGAGATTCGATTATTTTCATTTATAGAGGCCGTCCGACTTTCAAGTAGCCATGGAATGGATTCACTAAAGAAGCTTATTGCCTCATGAGTTCACCGCTGCCAAGATTTTTAGAATTCGTCCTGTACATGCGAAGTTGCACAGATTTATTGCACGTTGCAAGTGCATTCTCTCTTCTTGTCCCGACGAAAGCGCTGGAAGCTAAGCAACGAGGGATGGCACGGGGAAAGAAAATACGTCATGCGTGCTTTCTGAGCTTGTGGAGTCATTTGCTGAGAGAAGACAGCAATTTTCAGCTGAGTTTGAGAATTTATTATGAATTGCATGCCGCCGTGCTACGGTATAATATTTGGCTTGTGTGCCCTCCGTCTCCTCGTCTACCGATCGGCAGCGTTTTCTGACAGTGCTCAAAAAGTGTTCCAGGGTCCCCTTTAAATTTGTAGGGGGGCTTCGTGGCAGAGCGTATTTTTCTTGGATAGGTGCTTTCACGGCTTAGCACTCATACTCTGCGTGAAGCTACCTTTACAAATCGAACATTCGGAATAATATGGATTCATTCGTTCATTGCAAATACTTTGAAATTTTCAATAATTTAAATTCGAAATTGAACCAAATTCGTAATACCCTACTATTCGTTCGAATATTCGAAGCATTTGAATATGCGTACAAGCCTACCAGATGGTTTAAATTTTTGAAGCAATCCACTTCAGCGTCTCTCATAATCATATCATGAATTTGGGATGTGAAACCCCAGGTATTATTATTTGAGAGCCCTGCAATGGACCTTTGTTATACGAAGCCTGAAGGGGTTGGGAAAATGTGTTCCGTAGAACAGGAGTTTCGTTTACCGAGAGGGGAACGGGACTGCAGAATATGAGTACCAAACCAATCGTATCAAGAGACAGTTGTTCCATTTAAGCAGGAGTTCCGGTTAACAGGTTTTCATTCACTGAGAGTTTGCTGTATAAACAATAAATGCCATTGAAATGAAGGGTGACCGACCAAACTTAGCACACGATAGACCGCTTGTAACGTATGTCGCTGTAGTTGTGAATGTCTGCACGATAAGCGGTACTTTGCTGTAACCAAAACAACATTTTTCAGAGGCTGCTCTAGCACAAAAGGTGTTCAGCACGCAGCTGCACATATGCTATGCGGGGTACTTATAGTCAATTAAAGTTTAGGAATGTTTGACAATCAACATCCGAAGAACCACACTGCAAACAAAATAAATGCAGAAATAACACTAGGAAAAAACTAAAAAAAAAAGCACCGTCGCGGAAATTCGACTACATTTCAGACCAGCGTTATTATGGTCATTACACAGAAACTATGTCGAATCATGGCTGAAATTCTGCGCGCTGAATGGTACTGATAGTTTGATTTCAAGGGCGCACACACTGCCCCGCCGCGGTGGTCTAGTGGCTAAGGTACTCTGCTGCTAACCCGCAAGTCGCGGGATGGAATTCTGGCTGCGGCAGCTGCATTTTCGGTGGAGGCGATATGCTGTAGGCCCGAGTGCTCAGATTTGGGCGCATGTTAACTCTTTCATTTCTGCACGAGAATAGTTGTTTTTTATATGTCTTGGGAAGATCATTTTTGCCAGTTTGAAAAGTACTCCAGCACGCATTGCAGCATACCAAACTTCGCAGAATTAAATGCTCTTTTAAAAAAATATAGGTTGTAGAGCAACAAAGGTATTTTAGAATGAATAAAAATGTGAAAAGTGCGAAATTTTTTCTCACCAGCTGGTAGACAGTGGAATAAAAAACACTATATATGCATGCAAAAATGTTTGAAACAAACGAAAATTCAGAATATAAATTTTGTAGATAAATGATCTAGGAGCAGTATAAAAATAAATGATGTTGTAGAAAATGTTTCTGTTCACATAGACAAAGAAAATCAGAACCAAGAAGCTGCTTCATTGCTCATGCCATGCAGTGAAGCCTTGCATGGTATTTCGGTAGACACAAGTGTATTTATTTATTTTTATTTACAATACTGCCAGTCTCTTACGAGACCAAAGCAGGAGGGCATGAGTATCAAAATACAATGAATGCTAAGTACTTTCTTACAGGCGGCATACAGAACTGTTAGTTATTTTAAAATTGGTAATAATAATCCTAGTTACATAGAAACATTAGACATAGGTATTTATGCACTCCAAATATTCACACTTCGGAAGCAGCAAACTGAATCTTTGCTGCATAATAAAAAAAAAAATCAATACAGTTTTATACAGAGAAGGCATTGTGTATACTTATACATCCAAATAAATACTACTGTAAAACAATAATGGAGGTCATGGTTGAAGAAAGCCGTTGTCTCAAAGTATAGTCTCAATTTTTGAAGTGAATTCTGCCAGTGATGTTACGTTAGTAATGGAGGGATCTAACCTATTCCATTCGCTGATTGACAGGGGGAAAAAGGATTGCTTGAAACAGTCGTTGTTGGAAGAGTATTCTTTGATAGTGTATGCATGGTATTCGTACACTATTCTCAGTAAATTTTCGTTGCCTTGCGATAAGTCTCTTGGTTTTACAATATAGATGGATACCTGTGGTGTGAATAGTCCCTCTATAAATAAGATGTCCTATGAATTTCACTATTTCATCTAGCGTCGCCTCTTCCCATGAGCCACCTCACTCCGCATAGGTTGGTGTTTCAATATATGCATCCAAGCATATTCCTTTACATTTTGCGCATATCATAATAAAAAGAAGGACAATATCGCGCGCAGTTTTAAAGTGTTTTGCACTGCTCTGTATTCGGGACCAAGATGTGCTCCGGGGGCTTTCTTGCCGCTAGGAGAAGCTCTACAGTCAGCGCCACCACACTGCGCCAAGGCGAAGTGTGGACCACCATGTAACCTGAGCAACTATAAGATTATGCACCAAGGTCAGAAGCTATATACACTTGCGGCGGAGGAGATAACCTGAGGATGTAAACAAAACAAACCCGTGAACGGCTACGGATGTCTCAGGCTGATGCAAAACATCGTCCCCACAAAACTTGAAGCTGAGGTGCTGCCATCCATGAAATCTCAGCTCATTCTCACTCAATTTAGGTGCGGTCGGAAGACAGTTTTAAGCAGCGCATGTGTTATTGCAGCGCTGATGCGCATCCATGCGTGCGTGACGCCCATGTAATAGGACCGACTAGTGACACTAGATGTAACCCTGTGTCTGATATAACAAGCAAAACCAAAGCGGCTGGAAACTGGCTGTGGGAGCCACCTGCACACTTTACACATGCGGCGGACCTTGGGGAGTATTGTTTTGTAGAAATAATTTTCTTTGCCTGCTAGCAACAGCTCTCTATTGATTAGGTGGCATAAATTTTCGACAAATATTACTGCTCAACTTGGTCAAATTGCGAAGGTAACACATCGATTTGATATTTGGCTTGCAAATTTTCTTTTCAGTGCAGAACTTCGATGTTACTGTAGCACAATCACGAGGGGCACGCACTTCTGTCAAGTTCGCCGACCTAGTGCATTTTTGCAACTACACACCCACATTGGTTCGCGCAAAAGTCTGTAAAACATCGCTATGTCCGAAGTCGGCAAATTCAAAAAAATTTTGAAAGTTGAGTGCCTGAACTAACTATTAAAAAGTTCTAGGTGCACGAGAAAGAAATTTAACATGCCAAAATCGATGACCGAAAAGCGTTGATCACTGGTGATCAATTTGAATAGGCATGGTAACGAAAGACTTAAAGAACCCCAGATGGTCGAAAAATTCCCGAAGTCCTCCACTACGGCGTCTCTCATAATCATATGGTGGTTTTGGTACGTTAAATCCCACATATCAATCAAGGGTGCACATATCAATCAAGGGTGCACACCCTATGTTCAAGACATTGCAGTAAACTTGATAACCACTATTCGGGTGTTAAAAATATGCCACCCATATGCCCTCATTTTCATAACTATACGATTCCCTTCAAGTGCAGCCACTAACAGAGAGCTTCATTGATTCCACGCCAAATTGTAGCCTTGATGAACCACTGCAGCAAAGGCATCCAAGGCTGATTAGGTCCAGCCTGCGGGTAGCATGTGTTTGCAGGAACTTTTCCAAGACAACATGAAGATCAAATCTCGAAGAGATTGCACTCGAGCACCAACCCAAGAGCAACAGGTGTGATTCGAAGTACAAACTTTGGGTTCGCAGCTGGCAGATCAGTTGCGACAAAAGCCTGCCAAACTTGTTTAAGTCCATGTATGGCTGGCAACAAAGGAGAGAGCTCGCGTCATAATGCTTTTAAATTTGTAGACTGAGGTCACAAGCCGTGATATCTGTAGCACTCTACGACGACTTTTTCGGCAACAGGAAATCGCACGTTCCATTTGAAGCAGTGTCGACCGGCAAGTGGTTGGAGCTGCGCTGGCACCGGTGCTAAGGCTTCTTTGTCACTTAGGCAACTGCCCTCCTTCCTCACTCAGTGCACCCGCGATAACTGCAACATGCTGCTGCCATGTTTTTTTTAAATTTTCTTTCACATGTTCATTTACTCTGTGTACCCTCCTCCTTCGTGACATCTTCGCTTTCTACCCAGCGACATACCTCATCGGAGAAGCGCACTCACTACCCCGTTTGTTAAAAATACTTATTCAGTCAGCTGCATTATAACCAGTGTTGCATCATGAAGGACTTCACAATAAGCAATATATGCGTGTACATGGGTTCCATAGGAGGGCAAACGGGAGTCGAAAAAGACCGCATTGTAACCGATCCTGCACTCGAAGTGGTTGCGTTAGAGGTGGTCTGAATTGTATTCAGTGGGCCATTACTAACATTTTCAGGAAGATTCAGCTGTAGCAGACACTTGCATATATTGAAGGTAGGCCAATGTTTTCACTAAAAGCTGTCGTGCGTGCATTACTTTCAGTGTACAACTAATTCTGGGTGATTCTTGCAGGAAGCGGGGAACCTAATCGAGTTGTAGTTATTGCTGAAAGGTGATGAGCGTCGCTCACTTTGTGGCGTTTTCTTGCATCCTTACACATTTGTGACCTCTTGCAGACTCTCACGCTCGTACGGCACGGCTCCTGATGCTGATGGTGCTGCCAGGGCACCTCATCTTCGTGTACACCATTCGACTCCTCACCTCTGGCAACACTGTGATCACCCCTATGTTCCTGGCGTGCTACATGACGTCTGCCCTCATTCAGGTGAATAGCGCTCTCATCCAGAAACTTGCTCGCATAAAGTGGAGTGGGACACCCTGTTAACATTGTCGCATGGGCTCCGACGGTGCAGAAAACAGAACACAGCCAGTGAGGCTCTTTATTCCATTAACCTGCACCCAGTAAAAGAAGTAGCCCTCATAGCGCACCAGAAGTGACAAGCACAAATGTCAGTCATCGGCAATTTCATTCTTGGTAGAACACGTAATCTTCTATTAACAAATGTTAAGGAATTCTATTGTTATCACAGGGGTTCGCATTAGCACCAGAATAATCTGCTGCTCATATTGGGTGCACAATCTTATCAGAATAGCCTAAAATAATTCCTAAGTTTTTCAGACATATCAACACTGCCTGCACCGAGCAGTGGAATCGCTTTTGTGGGTGAAACTCAACCACATCAAAATAAGCATGGGTGAAAATGTGTAACACCCAGTGACTTGGTCGGTGCTGCCCTTCTTAAATGTTCACATGTGCATTCTAATGCTTCCATGTGTCGTGTGTATGATCGCTATGGAAACTGGATAGCATTTATGTGAAAATAACTTGTGCTCCACAAACTTATACGGAAACCATATAGGGTTAATGGAATAGCTTTCGGAATGCTTCAGCACTTTAGGGTGTGTGCGAGTGCTCACCTGGACAGGGGCTGCATGTGCCATCTTAGCGTATGCTATCGGGATTGGCCGGGACTAGGCTGTTACGTTGAATGATGTTGTAGTGGGGCGTTGCAGAAAAGTCAGCAGGGAGGGTATGTGGGGTACAGTTATGTGGGGTACAGTTATGGGAGTAGTCAGCCCAGCTACACTGTCTCTGTAGTTAGTCGTAGTGTATGAGCGTACAGGTGCCCAGAACAGGTGATTTGTCATGAAGGATAATTCACTCACATCATATGTACTTCTCAAAGTGCTAAAATTTATGGGCAGCTCAATATCCAGGGCAGTGTTAGCTATAAACAGTGAAATTTCACTAATTTAGTCATTCAACATTTTAGAACGTCCCGATCGTGAAATCAGTGCGCTATAGTGATGCAGAATTTCTCTCTTCGGCACACTAGTTCTGAAAAATATGTCCCTGACGTCTGTTATAATATGTTCACAGTGCTTGTCTTGTGGGCTTTTTCCCTTGTTCGCGTTTTTGCACTTTCAGAAGCTATTCCATCAAATGTATTAGCATTAAACTCAACAGGTACTTGCACTGCCTGTTGAATTAACTTGCAAGATCATTGCAGGTGGCGCTCCTGCTGTACACTGCGCGTTGCATGGTGTACTGGATGTGGAGCCGTCGAGTGGACCCAGACAATGCCGCCATTCCTTACCTGACGGCCCTGGGCGACTTGCTCGGAATCGCACTCCTAGCCGCTTCCTTCTGTCTGCTGGATGCGCTTGGCGACTGCGGCATCCACTCACCCGACTACAACCTACCACCACCACCACGACCGTCACACCAGTCACCTGTCACCATGCCATTTGCCAGTACAGGAATCTTCGACTAAAGACATGGAATGCTTAAACAATTTGGATCTGCAGTGAGAAAAAAAAAAAGAAACAGCATATAAGAACACATATCTGCGGATTGGATGCGTCTACTCATCAGTCGGGGCAGGCACGAACCAGTCGGAACAACTTACGTACGTCGGTGGATGTGGCGGTCAGCGCCATGCACGACTCAAGTCAGAACTGGCCGTGCATTGTCGCGTGACTTTAGTCACTGGCATGTTGAGTGCGTGTGTGTTCTCCCGGATTCCCATGTCCCTTGTGCACTTTGGTTTTTCGGAAGAGTTCTGTCGTCAGGTGGAATGCTGAAGTTTCCTGGAAAAAGCTGTCGTTCCGGTGCTGGTGTAAGTGTTTCCGCAATACTTGCTTCCACTTAGAGCGTAGGCACTCTCCCAGCTGTGCGGTTGTCACCGGTGAGGGTTGATGTGTGTTGTGGGGGAGCGCTCGAGGCAGAGTCCAGGTTTACGTCGACGCTGATGGCAAGGTCAACTGCGCTATTGGAAGATCTGTCTGGCACGGAACCTTCGTCATCGGGTCTGTCATGACTTTTTGTCGAGGTGGACGAATGGGTCGGGATGCGGTTTCAGGAAATCATAACAACAGGAATTCTAAGACTGTTCTGGGTTACAATGCCTCAATCCCGGTGTGGATAACTTAGTGCGCCAGTATTTAAAAATGCTACATTGTCGAAAACGATCCATTGCTATCGGTGAGGACTAGCGTGCCATGCATGAAGGCCTCCGTGGTTGAAGTCCATCATGAGAGGCTGTCATGGACAGTGTGGTAAAATTCCAGTGGTTCTCACGTCTTTTGTTTTGTTGAAGGCTACTGGCTACATAAACGAAAAGCTCATGTGGAAACGGCCATTGAAATCTCGTAGGTCTGAGGAAGCTTGGAAAGCGATGTAAATTGGTGTGGCCTACATGATAAAAATCAAATAGGAAACATTTATTCCAGTTTTTAGCTCTATGTTTGAGTACTCGGTTCTTTTCACTGTCTTGTGGCATGCATCAAGTTTGTTTGTTGCTGTGTTACTTCGTGAAATTTCAGTAGTGTGTTGCGTGCCTTTTTTGAGCACGTTGTTATGAGAGATAAAAATGATGTCTAATAGCTGGCCTTACTTGCCGATTTTGTGATGTGCACTTTTCTGGCTGTTGTGACACATGGCCGGGGAAAGAAATCGATGGCCGATCGCTTCTGTCCAGTTGCAATCTCTTGGATCAAACGTTGGCTAGTCTGAGCACCCTGGGCTAACATTTCACGGACGTGATGCCGGGGAGTTCAAGATCTTGTGTGAGAGACTGAAATGGTGGGAAGTTTTGAAATATGGTGGAGCTGAAAACGGAAAGCGCAAGAGTTTTCAACATTTGCCAGTCAGTTCAGCAAAACAGTTGAAGTAGGTGTTGCTGTCCTGATGCAAATCGGGGCTGGACAGGACATACTATGCGCCTTGTTAACAGCCTGTGGCTGAAACCAGGGTTGGGCAGAGCATGTGGGCAACATTTTCTGTAAAAGGACAGTCTAGATTCTCAATTTATTATTTTAAGTGTTCACTGAACATTTCTTGTGTGTTAGCTGGCCCTTAGTGGCACAGCTATCTCTACTTCCTTTTTTTAATTTCTCTTCTGCAGGCATCTAGAAAACTTGATTGGCACTTGCAGTTAATTTTGTGTTAGTCTAGTTCGAGGTTTATCTATTGCTAAGCGGCACTTTTAAGTAAAGAGAGCAGCATAGCTTGTTCCAGTTTCATTTACGGGGCTTGCCTACATAGTACAGCCTTTAAAGCATGCTTGTTATACCCATTGCATACTTGGTGAAATGAGTTACATATGTGCACCCTCAATAGTGATTCTTCATTACTTCTATACTCTGGTTCTCCAAAAGCTGGTGAGCTGGTGAATGAGTTAAATGTGCACAGCGCTGAAATGTTTTGTATTTTAATCTGCATTCTTCAGACCACAGGTTGCAATATAAAACACGCATGCAAAACTTATGTACGCATTTTGAGGGTGAATGCTAAGCACCCTCAAAAAAAACGGGTGCTGTTTCTATGGATCTGTTGGAGTTTAATACAGATACATATTGCGCGCTTGAAAAGATTTGTGGTGAGTACCAGATCTGTCGTGCATTGTATGCTGGCAGCCTTCTTTTGACTGGCTGAATCTCTTTTCATTGCTTATCGGCTGCAATCGCTTTTCAGCTTCTCAACTTTTCGTTACTTCTTGTGTCATGGGCAAAAACATTTGTCGGCGTTTGCTTATCGGCTGCAATCGCTTTTCAGCTTCTCAACTTTTCGTTACTTCTTGTGTCATGGGCAAAAACATTTGTCGGCGTGTTCTTGGAGGCATACGAGTTAGGTTTGTTGGTAAAGCGATGACTGGGGCTTATTTGTTCATGTTGACTTTGAGTGTGGTCTGATTAACAGTATCACAGTATGAAATGACAGACCTGTCTGTTAACCTGTTGCCCAGGTCTCTCAGAGTGCTTTTAGTGATACTTTAAGCAAACACACTTTAAGTCCCTTGGTTAGTTTCTAGGATTGCTTTAAGACGGATATAATGTGGGTGATATTGGTGACAACGCTAGTACCCATCTTCGATATCTAGACTATCTAGTTTTGTTGTGTGGAAGAACAAAAAGAATGAGCCACTTTGGCACTTTTTTCTTGGGAAAAGAAAAATGAGTCCATGCCGCCCGATGTTGAGCTGCGGCGGTGATACCGGTGACAACGCTAGTACCCATCTCCGATATCTAGACTATCTAGTTTTGTTGTGTGGAAGAAGAAAAAGAATAAGCCACTTTGGCACTCTTTTCTTGGGAAAAGAAAAATGAGTCCATGCCGCCTGATGTTGAGCTGGCGGGGAGGTACACAACAAGAATTATCCTGCCATGTGTGCTCCTCATGTACAAACATAGCCTTTAGGAGAATGGTGTTTCTAGGCAGTCAAAAAGTTTTCAATGTCGTGTTGGAGCCCAAAGCTCTTGCTGTGTTCCTTAGTTTTATGTACTAGTACGGGCCTGTGGTTTTTGACCCAGAAAGTGATGATTCATTCTTTGTAGTGCAGTTGTTCGTTCTTTCCTTTCGTTAGGTTCTCGGTCACTTCGAGAATATCAATCATGAGAGCATACAGTGGCATCCTAGTTCTCCCATGCGACCAGGATGGGTCTGTTTTTTTATTTCTTTATTTGAAATTGTTGTCAAGGGTTGCCTTGAAACGACTGAAGTTTCTCACAGCAATTATAGGAGTATCGCCACAGAACTTTTGTGAACAAGGAATCATGTGCAAGTTTTTCGGCAATGATGACGTTAAGAACAAACATAGGCCTCTGAAGAATCTAGCAGTAGCAGCAAGACTGCTTGTTACGCTTGTTGCCATTATTGGCAAATAATGCAAAGTTTCAATGATAACTCTAGTTTTGTAAATCCAGGCTCATGCTTTTTTAAAGCAATCAAATTTATATGCCACGTACCATGTGCAGTAACGCTATGGTTATCTTACTTTATTTGTGGCTTGTTTGGAAGCTTATTTCTACATGAAGATTAGCGTGTTTGAAGCTGGAGGATTAACGCCACCCACTGTGCGCAGTAGTTCACTAGTTTTTATTATTTTGAATACCTCAAAGGCCCCAGCTGGGTTATTACATGAGGGATGGGTATTAATTACAGAATAAAAAAAAGTGATTCGAGGGCAATCTTGAATTGATGCGGGTCGGAGTGGTGCACGGTAGTTGCAGGCAGACGATTCCAGCCCCGTGCGGTTGTCACAAAAAAGGAACGAAGATGTGCGGTGCTTTGGGCTGGTGGAGAATACACTGCGCTTGAATGGTTTGTGCGGCTTGATGAGCGATGGACTGGCAGGATGGCTGGAGCTTCGATGGGGGCATGATAAAATTTGTGAAAAAGGCATAGTCGAGATATGGGACGCCGTAATTCTAGATTAGAAAGGTGAGCACGAGTTTTAAGTTTGGAAACACTGGAATTGTAGGTATATTCAAAGTAGATAAAATGTGCAGCACGGTTTTGAGTCTGTTCGAGAATGTTGGATAAGTGAGATTGGTGGGGATCCCAGACAGAACATGCATACTCTAATTTTGGACGAACAAGTGTGACATACGATATTAGTTTAACTGATGGGGGCGCAAGTCTTAAGTGTCTACGTAGAAAACCCAGAGTGCAATTTGCGGAGTTGGCTATGTTAGTCACGTGGGCTGACCAGGAAATGTTATTTGAAAATGTGACACCAAGATATTTGTATGATTCAGCGGGTGAGACTGCAGTGCCGGAAATGGTGTATTCTTCTGACTGTTGACGGGGCCTGCGATGAAAAGATACCAATGAAATTTTTTTTATGTTTAAAGACATTAACCACTGATCACACCAGGATACAATTAATTGAGGTCGTTTTGAATTGCAGTAGTGTCTGCGCTGTTTGCTATGGGACGGTATACGACGCAGTTATCTGCAAAGAGGCTGTTGTAGCTGTTGCATCTAGGTTGGTTACAATACTGTGTAAATCGTAAGTGTTGTTGTTTGTAGCTGGTTATTCAGTGCACGTTGTAGTACTTCAAGGTGAAACTCATGTGTAAACTGAGGTATAGAGTCGGCAACATCCTCACATAAGTAGTTGTACAAAAGCTGCAGCCATGGAGGTTCATTTAATGCTTAGTCTATGTTTAAATTCCTGAGGAAGTCATAGTCTCGTCTTAGAAGAAGCCATTCATTTGCTTGGCATTCATTTGCTTGGGTGTCTCCAACAGGGATTATGTATATGTTTCAGTACATATGCTGCACCTAAATGCATGCTATGCCTGTTGTTTTTCTCGTGCAGCAGCTATTGTCATCGTCCTCTTGGTGGTTTTCTTTCTCCAGTGCTGCATATAACTGGAGCTTTGCGAACGGTCACTCGTGGTCATACGCATTGGTATCAGAGTAAAAGTATAGTGCGAAGAAGATACAAGTTTTAAATACAATCATAAGGGTGCCGTTTCAGCGGCATCCGAGGGGCGACCACTGCCAACTGGTGTTGCTTGCCAGTGTGTAACAATGCACGCATTCTTTGTTATTTCTTTTTTTGTAACACAAAGGATCAATTGCGAATGCAGTCAGATGCTTTGCATCTTTGAGAGGTATTGATAAAGGTGAAGTGACTGTAGTTTTTAGTCGGGAAATCTTCTCTCTCATTCTCAATGTGCCTCTTGTATTTTTTTTTTTATGTTTGTGAAGTGGAGAGGCTACTTTCAACTCTGCTGCCACTCGTAAATTTTAGCGCAGTCCCTTTGAACCGGAGTGATGCTGTAATGTGATACTAGTTTGACAAGAAAATATGAGCTTTTTGAAATGCTGAAGTTGTAAAAAAAAAGAAAAGTGGTATCATTACTCGAGGCACTAACCTATTTTTATGGGTGTCTGTAGGAAGTGCTCAGTCATTTGCAGATTTAGGCTGAATGATTTTCTATATTCCATTCCGAGGTGGTCACACTAATCCAATATAGCGTGAAGGTGTGGTAATTTAATCTGCCATGTCGAAGCTACTTTACCGTGGTTCTCAAAGAAAACATAATTGAGCCTGTGGAATGTGTAGCATCAATAATAATAGCCATGCATCGTTGTCAGCAAGAATTGAGGTAGGAGTGTTTGAAGAACCAAACAAGACCTGACATCGAGGAAGGGTGTTGGAATTTTGCAGCCGCACTTTTGGCTGGGGAGTCGAAGGTCGGAAACAGCGATGCTTAAGGATTCACAGAAATAGGTCTGCACACTGCACTGATAGGGCGTTTTCAATAGCAACCATGTGATTTTGCGTGGTTTCGTTTTGTGGAGCTGTGAAGAGTGAGAATGATGTAGGAGGCGTAATTGGGGTCGGTACAGCTGACACGAAACTGAAGTCTTTCAATGGTGGATGCAGCGCATCCGCGTCCCGTTGTTGAGTGCCTCGTTGCTTATGAGAGTCATTGTGCAACGTTGTAGCGGCGACATCAGTGTCAAAGAGGTCGACAATCTGAGAATTGGTGGCGGCCGCTGAATTGTGGGAAGCGAGGCAACGCTTGCGTGGTTAACCACTTTGCCGAGTTTTGCTCGTTACGCGTGCTGTAGTGTGAGTGAGTCCAGTATCTCAATGTGCGCGTGCTTTAGCAGTGTTGTGTAGGAATTCAGTCAACTCTAATAGTTTTCAGTGGTGCGATTCAAGTCTGGCGTGTTGCTGGTGTGTTTGAAGCATCTGTATGCGAGTTGACGAAGCACTGTGTTTGGTCAATCTCTGGGAAGATTCTGGTCACCCCCTATGCAGCCATCTGCTTGTAATGTCGGAGATCGCGTTTGTTGTCCAGTTTGCCCATGCTATACTGCTGGTGCGAGTGCTTGAAACGTGCCCCGTGCTTCTGAGTGTGTTTTTCTTTGTCGGATGATGCGCACTATTTTCTTTCCCTTGATGCTGCTGGTTGCTACATTTTTTCATCTTCAGGTGGAAATTTCATACGCGTTGTGTTCATATCATTAGCTTTCCCACGAAGGCGTTCCGCAATACCTTTACTAAAGCACGCCTTCGTGGGACACTCTTTGGGCAAGTCGTGTTGTCACTATTATACTGATATTTGCATTTATATTGGGAGAAGCGGAGGCTCAAGACTTTTTTTAGCAGAACCCAGGAATTGGCCTTGTGTTTGTAAAGTGATAGGTGGACATTTGCCATGTTGCTGGGTATCCACAACTTCGAGCTGTGGGGTTTGTAAAGTGATAGGTGGACATTTGCCATGTTGCTGGGTATCCACAACTTCGAGCTGGAGTTTTGTTAAAGCGTGGAATGTTTGAAACAGCAATCTTTCAAACAGTTCAGACGATCATGATATACTGTTAGTAGTCTTGCTCTGAACAGTCTTCTTGGGTTGCGCTGAAGTATTGTTTTTCAACACTTTGCTTGCCTCGGCTTTGTGCTCCCAGCTGTATCATTTTTTCATGCCAGCCACCCCATTGGTGCTTCGCCAATTGTCTCCTATAGCTGGCGGTACTCAATTCGAGGTCGCGGCCCACCAGCTTCCTGCCTCGGCGTTAGCGCAAGTGGTGATTGATTGAGGTGAAGCCGAATTTACAGAACGTACTTGACCGCATGAAAATTGGCCACGCAACTAGTGTTCCTGCAAGCAGGCAGAATCGCAATGCTTAAAATTTGCTCTCACACTGAGAGCCACACCTTATGGATTTTTACAGTAAGTATTTTGTGTAGCTGTTTCATGGGCAACGCGGTGGCATTCAAAAAGAGCGGCGTGTGGTGACATGCTGTGTTGTGTCGAGGTCCATATCAAGGTCGTTGTGTGAACTCTTCGTGAAGCTTGAGGCACTGTGTCTCTTCTTCAGGACTGCCCAGTCGACTTCTATTGCTCGTTTTCTCCATAGCGATGTTTGATTTAGGTTTGTGGGAATAATGGTGGCATGACACTGGGAGTGAGCGCTGGCACAAGCCTGAATTCTAGTTCATCGCCACTCGAATGCCTTTTTTTTTTTGCTTTGGGACTTTCCCATGTAACTTTGAGACTGAGATTCTCAAACGCGTAACGTTACTATTGCGGACAACCAATACCTAATCTCTCTTCACTAGGCTAATGAATTGTCATATTCAGTTGTCTGTGTTTGTGCTGATACAGAGTACTTATATTTAGTGTTCCCTTTTGGAA